AGCTCGACTAGACAAGGCTCTGAGCAACCTAATGTAGCTCTGAAGTTGGCCCTGCTTGCAGCAGGAAACTGAACCAATGGCCTTGAGGGGTCCTTGCCAACCCAAATTATTCTGTGAGTCTATGGTTCTAACATGTGATTCACCCAAATTTAAGCACTCCTCAGCTGACATTTTATCCAGAAAACTAGGGAAGAATGGGACCAGCAACAGAGGAACCAAAGTGATGTGTTGGAAGGCAGAACTCTCTGGGAACACCAGGTAGAAAACTTCCCCAGATCAGTGGTTCCTTGATAGAATATAATCACTTCATTTAAACAAAATCGTGGGAAGAGAGTTATTCTGCTTCCAACTTCATGGGGTTCTTAGTTAGATGGTGGAAGGATAGGGAAACTGATGTCTCCCACCTTCTCCACAGTTTAAGACCTTAAGATTATGATTTTCTTGGCCTTCATGATGGAGATATCCTGAGGGAGGACCTCCACACATGCTGATGGAAAAGAGGAAACCAGCAACATCATGACCTATGCGCGTTTCAAGTAAATACTGTGCAGTAGCTGGAGTCGGCCACCTATGCTGCTGTCAGCCCCACAGGAATGTGTTCCTTTTCTTCTCTATTTCATTTTTTCCCCTCTACTCTTTCCTTTGATATCTATTGGATGGCAGCCTGGTCCTGCTAGTCAGAACTCCACTTTCTGCAGCAATATGAAGCACCTGCATAAGTGCCAGGCAAGAGACCAGAACCCATCTGAGCTTACCAGGTCTTCAAACGCCAGAGAAGGCTATGGGCCAATCTCTCCCTCCACTTGCAAGACTGCAAAGACAGGAGCCATGAGCTTTTTTGCGGTCCTTCTGCCAAGGCTTCTGTGAGTTTGTCTTATTTGATCCTAAAGGAGAGAGGATTCAACTGGAACAGCAACAACAGCCAGCCCAGCCCACTTCTCTCTTAGCCCAGACAAGCAGCTAATACCACTGTCCATTTCTAAGTGCTTCAGTGGAGTTTCAGGAGTCCCTTGTCAACACTTTGCCTCTTCCAGATGGACAAGGCAAAAGATCCAGATGTGTCCAGTAGGATTATTTCTTGATTTGTTCACCCCACACTTTGACTTCAGCTCCTCACACAGCTGAAAATTGTTCAAGGGCTGGACAGAACAACTCACAGGCCATAGCCTGCCTGCGGGCTGCTCTCAGAGCTGTGCCAAGCTAGACGGCTCAGCATGGCTGGGTTTTGCTACAACTTTCTAAAGCTAAAGGCAAAGGAAATAAGGCATATCGATATGAAAGCCTTACTTTGTGCTTTCCATTTCATAGAAATCACAGCATTGTTTAGGCTGAAAGGCACCATAGGAGGTCTCTAGTCCTACCTCCTGCTCAAAGCAGGGCCATTGAATTCAGAGCAGGTTGCTCAGGGCTTTGCCCAGTCAGGCATTCAAAACCTCCAAGAACAGAGACAGCACAGCCTCTCTGGGCAACTGTCCTCATGGAGAGAAAAATCTTTCCTCTCTCTGAATCTTCCCTGTTTCAACTTCTGCCTGCTGTCCCATGCCCTCGCACCACGCACCCTGCAAAGAGCCTGGCCGTCTTCCAGCTGACCTCCTTGTAGCTACTGGGGGTGCTGTGAGGTCCCCCCAAAGCTATCTGTGCCCCAGGCTGAACAAGCTCTGGTCCCTCAGCTTCTCACAGGGCAAGCGCTCCAGGCCTGACCAGCTGAATTCGCTTCAGTTTGCCACTGTCTGTCACCGTCTGTCTTGTACTGGGCACCCCAAAACTGGACACAGTTTCCTATATGGGGTCTCATAAGTGCTGAGTAAAGGAGGATAATCACTTCCCTCCCTCTGCTGGCTGGATTCCTGTTCAGTCAGCCCAGGATGCTGCCGGCCCTCTCAACTGCCAGGGTGCAGTGCTGGCTCATGTCCTACTTGCTGCCCAACAGGCCCCCGCGCTGTGTTCAGCCCCGCTGCTCCCCAGGCAGTCAGTCCTTGGCCTATGTGGTTTCAAGGTGTTAGTCTGTCCTGATTTTGTGTTTGTCCTTGTCTCTTTCCTTTGCCTGTGATAACAGCTTAAAAAAGCCTTGTTTTAGGATGAAGTAGAACAGAGTCTTATCAAAGCCTCAGACCTTGAGTAAGCTCTTATGGCTGCATGATGACACACCTGATTTCTCGGGCTGGTTTATTTTATCACAGCTAACACAGCATATCTCTAAAGGAGACTGTTGTGCAGAAAAGGCTGAAAAAGTGAGTCATTAGCAGCTTTGCGTCATTTGTACTGCATGAATAGTTCACCTTTGAAGAGAGAAGGCTATCTCTTCAAAAGTTAATTTCACATTAGAGATCTAAAGGTAAGAAATGGAAAAAAGGATTTATTTGCAAATACCTGTCTTCAGGTGACATTGTCTCATAATGCTATCACAAACTGAGTCCTTGCTTAGTTTTATCATGGCATGCATTAAGTGCTAGCAATTGTGGCCTCTCTTTAGAAGATTAATGTTTTAGGCGTGTTGTAGCACTTAACCTGAATTTTTTGTTCACATGAAAAAGAAGACTGTCAAAACTGAATCCAACAAGTTTTTGAAAACCTTCGCTTGCTTTTATACCGGTCGGTAGAGAATCCTCTGGGCTCCTGTGAAGGATTCAGTGCAGAGCCCCAGAAGACAAGTCTCAAAATGATGCACACATGGTGCATGTTATGAAAGCCTTTCACCTAGTCTTCTGCTGATTTTGTCATTAGGAACTTACTGTGCTATTTGTGTGTGGGCAGGATAATTGAGATTTAGCACTATCAGCCCCTAAGAACACATATACATGTGGTGAGTGAAGCATGTGTTTTCTGCATTATCCAAGTCCTAGTGTTGCAAGTTCATCTAGGTATGTTTGACATTATCCACGTGCAAGATCTTGCTGACTGCAAAAAGCAACCAATGAATAAAGAAAACATAATGCTAGCCTTGCATCAGGGAATGATGGCTGCTCCAGAGTACGGCTGTAGCCTTGACCCTCCCCACCGGCCTGTGGAACAAGGCCAGGGTAAAGGAGGATACGGCCTGTAGCCTTACTGTACTGGCACTTTTTCAAGTGGTCTCTGCACAGTAAAAGGGTACTGATGAAAAAGAGAATGAAAAACGTTTCTGAGGATCCATTTGTCACTACTAACCAGTCACACAAGGGGGGTCATGGGTGGGACCTTGTGTCATACGCTCCAGAAAGAGTGGTTCCTGAGGCTTTACTAATGAAGGATATTTTAGAGTCCAATTGCGAATAGGAGATTCACACAAATGAAGAATTAAAAGTTTCTGTAGGAGCTGTTGGGTAATTTTGTTGAGTGCTTGTTATTTTAAGCACTTACTGGATCCAACAGAAAGAAAGTAGGCGTTTGTTTTTCTCCTATAGCTAGTGTATATTGAAGGGAGTGATAGCATGACTATCTGTCTCAACTGGAAAACAGATCTCAAGCATAGCTTGCTTGCTTTTAGAGAGGAACTTAGCCAAATCATCCTTCAGAGGCATGCAAAGTTGGCGGGAATTCCCCACTCATACCTCCAGGAAGAAAGTGATCTCTGACTTTTGTCTAAAGATAATGTATTTGAAGGGTTAATCCTTTTTATTGATTTCTGCAATTTTGCCTATTAATCAGTGGTTATCCTTCTAGGTTTACCTCTTCTTTTCGGCATTTGAATTAATGTGGCCTTAGACAGAAATAGGCTATTCCTATTTTTTATATCAGTTTAACTCCATTGACAGAAGAAAAGTTACCGCTTATCTGGGCCGGACCTGTATTCTTTATTTTGTGTGTACAGAAATGTAATAGCCGCAGTGTAGATTGAGTCAATTTAGGCAGACTAAGATCAAAGCAGTTCATTGGGGGTTCCCACACACAACTCCAAATATCCCTTATTCTTATGCAGGAAAAAAGCTCCCCTCAGCTTGCAGCACACTAGAGCTTTGTTCTGCTTCTCTGCATTGATCTTCCTGACAGTGCAGGAGCCACACAGAGTGACCATGGTCTTCCAGTTTAGAAGAGCGCTGGTCACAGCTGAGTGTTATTTTCATCTTTCCTTAAGTGGAGGAATAATACAAGCACCATGCATAGTGTCCACTCAGCAACAGAGAAGACGTACACTGAGTAATTAGTCCACAGGGCATGTGGGTATGTAAAGAGCGTCACTGAAATGTTGTTCTTACTCCAGCTGTTTCCCTAAGCAAAGGATCTTGAGCAAGTTTTAAAAGCAAATTATTTCTTTTGCAAGAGCAAGTATCATTCCAAAATCTTCTTTGCCTCACCAGATCACGCTAGAACAACAAGGTCTTGGACCTAACCCTACAGTCTTCCAAGGTCCTTCCATTCTAAAATCAGTTTCGAGCAGTATAGTCCATCCAAAACCCTATTTTGGCATCCTCATGACAGTCAAACTTCTTTTTCTGTAGCTTTCTACTTGGACATCTGCCAATTATATGGAGAATGATGAAGAAAAAGCAGTTTATGCATGATCTCTTCCTGCAGTGGTAAGTTGAGGTACCTCAGTAACTTAGAATCAGGTAGCCCTGTAATTTCCTGTGCCTGGGAAATCAAGGCGCAGAGATATTGAGTTACATACTTAGCATCATGACCTCAGCAGGTCAGCAGAGGAACTAGAGCATTGATCTTTCTCTTTATTCAGTCAAGACTGCAGTACGTCTAGTACATTCTAGTTTAGTCCTTTGAGGTTATTAGGCCTGCATTGTTACATGTTCATGTTTTATACTATAATTGTCTTTTTTTTCTTGCCTTCTTGTAGGGCAGAGAAATACGGACCCATTATACGATTTAATGCTTTTCACAGAGTCTCAGTAATGGTTTTGAGTCCTGAAGGAGTGAAGGTACTGCAAATAAAATAGAATCTACAGTGGGGATCAGCCCATCCATCCAGAAAAAGAGAAGTGCTGTCTAATATTTAGAACAGCATGATCCAGCCAGTCTGTACCCTGTGGGAGCGCAGCTCTGGGCCAGGTTACGAGAGTGAGGTATTACTGTGGACTCTCAGCTGTCCTGACTCTACTTCTTGCTTGATTTACTTTGTTACCTTTCTTTAAGCTGCAGATGGAGCAACCATCCACCATTTCTGAAAAGCAGACTATCTGCAAGAGCTTAATATCTCAAAAGAGCAAGGCACAAAGGGGCTGAATTTTTCCTCTAAATCATGGTAGTAGTCACAGTGTGAGATTTGAGGTCATTGGGGAAGCGAGTGCTACAGGCATGCAAAACAAGCTATCAGTCCACCAACCAAGGCACACCAAATAATTCATGAAGCCTTCAGACTGTTACCACAGGAAGAAGTGGGTGAATGTGTGAGTGTTTCCTTATGTTTGGTGTGGGAAATGGATTGCTCTCAGAATTTACTGACAGGAGATTTGATTTTAGGAATTCTTGATGTCGCCACACTACCCAAAGGATCGACTGGTGTATGGACGTATCTTCAACATGTTTGGTGTAAGGTAAGCAAAATCCAGCTGAAGCCATTGTGACCTGAAAGTTAGTGAAATATTAATTAAGTCACAGACATTACATTGGCTTTCACTCAGAACATTGACTCTCCTATTGGGGTTAATGACTCATTATAGACATATTTAAGCACCAGGTACCTACTAAGTTATACTGAAAGTGCACATATCAAATCAAATGTCTTCCCAATCAGGGATGAGCTCGTATTCATTTTTTACCTAATCTTGTATGTTTCTGATGTGGATGTTCATTTAGTCTCAGAGCGACTTTTTTAAGGCTTATCAAACTTCTCATACGGATTTTAGAGCGCTGAACTGTTCCTTAGTGCACTGGAGTTTCCAGCTCCTAAGCTTAATGAGAGGAAAAGGGAATGTTCCCTGTTAGCCTGAAGCTCCTAAAAATATAGTAATCCAGTTATTGTATTAATTATTTGTATAGCAACTATTCTTGGGAACCTCTGTAATGAACCAGGGTCTTGTTGGACTCAGCATTCCACAAGTACTAGGCAAAACATTTCTGCAGTTCAGTCGTCGTCCACCATGATGAAATGATTGCGTACACAAAGCAGCGTGGTACTCCCTGCATGCGGGAAAAATACAATAAAGTAGATGTGAAAGAGCTATATCTGTGACTATACAGCTTCCAGCTGGCTCCCTTGCTGAAACCTGTTCCCCTCCACGTTTTCCTAAATGCTAGATTTCTTGGGAACGGTTTGGCGACTGATTGCAACTATGATCGTTGGCACAAGCAGCGGAAGATTATGGATCCGGCTTTCAGTCGAACGTAAGGCAAATATCTCTGGGATGATCTATCTGTTGTTTCCACTATTCTTTTGATTCTTACTGTCACTGATCCGTTATTTGATATTTAGAAAGGGTGAACCCATTTAGTGCCAAAATCACATTTTACTTAGAGTCCAATACATCATTTCCATGACAACTGTAATTTGACCAATCTTTCTATGTGGGAATGGAGGGACACCCATAGCTCAGTGACGGCAGGAGTGGATCCCGTGGTTATGCATCCAGGAATGTGGTGAGGGCCGCCTTACTCTGTCTGAAAATAGATCTCAGATACTGGAAGTGGGCAAGCCTCAGCACCACGTGCCTCAGTGATTCGCTATGGGAGACATGGCATGATTAATAAGCAGGGTGGGTGGTCTAGTTTGCTTGTGTGTGCCTGTATAAAACAGGTGCATTGCATTTAGGGTCTAAAGATGAAGTCCATTAGCTTTGGCATGCACAGACCAAAGCCCTTTGCCATGTTTTTACATGGCAGAACTGTGTTGGGCTGCTGCAAGAAGAATTTAGCTCATTTTGTCTTGCAATGGTCTTTTTTTACCTCTTTGTCTTTAAAAAGAGTTAAGGCAAAAAAAAAGTTTCTTTACAATTTTATATGGAAAATAATGAAGATAATTTTGTCTAAGCAGAGATGTGCTCCCCAAAGCCCCCATCACTCATCTTTATTAATTGTTTAGCTACCTGATTGGTCTGATGGAAACTTTTAATGAAAAAGCAGAGGAGCTGATGGAGAAGCTAGAAGAAAAGGCAGATGGAAAAAAAGAGTTTAGCATGATGACAATGATGAACCGAGTGACTTTGGATATCATTGCAAAGGTACCAGCTACTTTCTTGTTTCCTCTGCAATAGGCAGGAAAGAATGGAAGTAAGGTGTGCCAGCAACGGCACACCGTCAGGAGGCCAGAGTCAGGGAACAAGAACTTTACCCAGAAACGCCAGAATACTTGTGGGACTAATTGTGCCACTTCCATCAGGGTGAGTGACACTGAAACCCATAGGAAGGGACAGTTTAGGGAAGTGTTTACTGTCCAGGTTGTGTGTGAGTGGCCTGCAGTATGCTACATGGGAACCCTTTGCAAAAGCCCATCCAATCTATGTTAACTCACATCTCTCCAAGCCAAAAGGGGCACACCGGTATTCATTTATACGTGCATGCTGTACTATTATCGTTATATGTCAGCATGAAATCTGCCTCACAGTGGCGTTTTGCTTCTTAATGTGAAGCACTTTGGGATGAATAGAGCAGCATTAAACTACTAATTTCCCCCAAGATAAGGAGAAAGCCTAATCTAAATATTACTCTTCCCTCACAGTTGCCCATAAGGCAGAATCTAGCATAAGGTATTTTTATGGTAAAAGAGTTCAGTGTGAGGCTGTTCTGCTCTCCCATCCCAGACCCCATAAGGCAGAAGGATTCAGTGAGTTGCTGCTTTTTTCTCTCACTGTCCTCAGATAGCCTTTGGCTTGGAATTAAACTCGCTGAATGATGACCAGACGCCCTTCCCACACGCTGTGACCATGATTATGAAGGGAATGACCGAGATACGCATCCCCTTTGTGGAGGTAGGTACTCACTCATTTCAGTAGTCTCTCCTCATATCGAGGTCCATATGTGACTGGGAAAGTGTTTTTAGTAACTCCTTCCCTCCAGCATGCATTGAGATAAGATTTACTAGTGCTTTAAAACACTTGCAAAATTAATCTTATTATTTAATGCTTTGTTTCTGTCTTTCTGCCTTCTCTTCCCCTCTGTGTCTCTTTTCACCCTCTCTCATTTTTTTAATACATTCACACCCATCACTGCAAAAATTGAGAAGTCCGGAGGGACAAAGGGAGCATTTGTCCGAGAAAGACTGCAGCCTTCACTTAATGTGGTATAAATTTGAGTTTTCTTACTGTAAAAAATTTCTATTTTTGACCAAAACTCAAATAATAGAAAATTAGGGATGAAATCTGAAATATTTCTGTTGTTTACATAAAACAATTTCCCATGAAAGGTGTAGTTTAGACTTCTAGTGCTTCTGTTTTCTTTTTTGAGCCCAAAGACCCTGGTTAGATTCTATGTCACATGTTACGGTTTCTTTCCTTGGAGAGGTGAGGGATTTTGCCCGCTCTGCTCAAAATATAAGCTCTGACAAGGCATGTCATCGGCATGCACAGATTGAAACATTTCTTGTTCTAGCCAAAATTAGTCATTCTGGGGACATTCACCTTTTTCCGAGGAGGCCAGACATTTTAGTGAAAAATGTCATTTAACAGAAAATGAGGTCCTTATTTGAAAAATAATACTGTCAATATTTTTACCAGCCAAAGATATAACATAACTAAGGAGATTCTATATTCAGTACATGCCAGGAAAACAGAAAATGGTAAAGGAGGTCCGGGAGAGTGTCAGATTGCTGCGCCGTGTGGGCAAGGAGTGCATTGAGCAACGGAGAGAAGCCATGCAGAACGGGAAGGAACCCACGTTAGATATTCTTACGCAGATGCTGAAAGGAAACGGTAGGATACTCACTGTTGTTTGAGTTAATTGGTCAGTGGAAGTTTTTTCCTGAGATTTGGGGAGCCTTATTTTGGGGATCTGAACTTTGACACTCAATCTTCTTTTAACATGTTCAGGAGTGTAAGTTTTTTCACACTGAAGAGACATAGTGGGACTTGTTTGGAAAATGTCTTCCCTTTGAATGCATTCCCAGTTTCTTTATGTTGGATCATATATTGGGCACAAGTCACCCCTGAGCTGCCCTCTCAGAATCCACTCCCAATTCCACCTCGGACAAAATACTCAAAGCAGAACGTAGTATTCTAGCGGTTCCAACTGGGACATGGGGAAATTTTCTAATCTTGCTTTTTTTTCTGTCTTGACAGCTCTGGAGGAAATTAGAGATGATGAAAATATTCTGGATAACTTTATCACTTTCTTTGTCGCTGGTTGGTAGCTATTTCATTATTTGGATATGTAATGTGGGAAGCTGTACTTGTTCTTGGGCCGTCTACAGGAGCATTGTTAATGGTTTTGCTCGCTCCTTGTGACACTGCTGTAACTAGGAATCACTTTATCAGAAAACAGCATTCCTGTACTGGAAAAAGATCAGTTGAGGGAGATCTGAAAGAATTTGTAGTTTTCTCATAGGCAAACGATGTTTTATCCTCCTACTCTGTCCTTTAAACATAGTGAATAATGCCAAGCTGCAGTGCAGAGAGCAACACTTCCTGCTGTTGTGCGAGAATATTCTTTATATAGGTCTGGCCCTTTCTCCCCATCTCCTGCTAAATCCCACTGAAAGAATCTTATACATTTTATAGTATAGATGCCTTTGCTTCACCTCATCCACACACATGAATGCCATTCTTCCCTTAAGGGCATTACACAATGCTTAGTAGGTGAGGGCTCTGTTAAAACTACCGGAAGAAAACAGAGGCCAACATGATATGTGAGGTAAATAACAGAAACATTGTTCCTGTTGTAAGTCAGTAGGATTCAGGTTCCTAACAAGGTGAGATCAAAACATCTTTTGCAAGAAAGCTATCTATCTTTTCAACAAATGCATCTTTAAAGAGGTCTGTTTTCAGTAATGCTTTAGAATAATACATATGACTACCAATGAAAAAATGAAAAATGTCCACAGAAAACAGACACTCTGAAGAAAGCCTGTTAGAAGCTCAGTTTGCCTTCAAAATTAGTGTATTCTTGTTTCTTAGCAGGACTATATGTCCTGCTGTATGACATGGCAAATATACAGTCTGACTGGCCTCTTTTGAACCATTGGTCCTTGATGTTAGGGAATTCTTAACCAGTAAGTGCTGTATACATCAGCTACAGCTTTGCATTGATCTAGCTAGCTTGTATCTTTACCAGCTCTAACCTGTGCTTGAAACGCTTGAAAGATCCTTAAATAAATATTACATCCCTTTTAGTATTTCTTTTTCTTTTCTTTTCTTTTCTTTTCTTTTCTTTTCTTTTCTTTTCTTTTCTTTTCTTTTCTTTTCTTTTCTTTTCTTTTCTTTTCTTTTCTTTTCTTTTCTTTTCTTTTCTTTTCTTTTCTTTTCTTTTCTTTTCTTTTCTTTTCTTTTCTTTTCTTTTCTTTTCTTTTCTTTTCTTTTCTTTTCTTTTCTTTTCTTTTCTTTTCTTTTCTTTTCTTTTCTTTTCTTTTCTTTTCTTTTCTTTTCTTTTCTTTTCTTTTCTTTTCTTCTCCTAGCATATTTGAAATTAAACATTCAGGGCCTCAATTTTAAAGTAGTCTATTCACATTAACACTACTAGACCTTCTTAATATTCAGACTTATTTCAGACTAATCTTTAAATTTATTTTTTGTGTTGTTAGGTCATGAAACAACTGCCAATCAGTTGTCATTTACAGTAATGGCACTGGCTCAGCATCCTGAAATATTGGAAAGGTATGTACACTGTAATTTCCAAGGTCAGTGTCACTGTTAATTTCAAGAATTTAATAATTATAAGGATTACTAAAAATCTAGGCTCCATCCCTAATAAATTCTAGCCTCCTTTCCAAAATGCACAATTTCATAGTCCATTATATCTAAAATTTAAAAGGAAGCTTGAAGATGAATTATTTCAATTCCATCTAAGTGATCTTTTTTCAGTTTTTTTACAAACTGGTCCTGAAACCCACCTGATTCCCTTGCACTGTATGCCGACTATTATATCCTCATATGAGGCACAAGTTCAGGCAGGCTGGCTGGGAATCAATAGGCATTTTGCCTGAGGATGGAAGTCAAAGTCCAGTTCAATGTCTGGAAAGTTCAAAAATGTGATTTGTCAAACTACTTGGCAAGAAATGGGCATCTGTAACTAGTGTTTTTTAATTTAAATACAGACTTCAGGCAGAAGTGGATGAAGCTATTGGTGCCAAGAGAGACATTGACTATGACGATCTTGGCAAACTCGAGTACTTATCACAGGTACTGTAGGAGCGAGATAAAACACCAGTCAGAACTGTTTGGTAGTGCTCTTGCCATGTCATGCAACTGCCAGGAGGAGTCCCATACTTCTTACATTTTATGTGTGATACCAACATTGCATTCTGAGAGCCTTTGTCCTCAGAGAAGTAAGCAGGTAATCTGAGCCTTTTGCAGCAGCTGAACCTTGTCAGGAAAGTTGCTTCTAGAGTTTCACCCTGAAATCCAACACGATTCTTTCACTGCTTTCTTTAATTATTACCAAGCTGGGAACTAGAGCTGAGTTGATTATTCCATGCCAGTTTAGCTGAAACCATAGCCATACTTTAAGAAGGATTTGCAACTTTGAGCCCAAGCTTTGCATGTCCTACACAGTTCCCAGACTTACTTACAGATCTACTTTTCTTTGATTATTACTAAAGCATTTCCAACTATGATCTCACCATGTGCAATAAACCAAGCAGGATTTGGGGACATCTCAAAATAATAGTTAGTTTTCACAGTTTTCATTTTTTAGGATTCAGTCTTTGAACCCTCTTCAGTCACTTGGAAAAAGAGTTTGGTCCTAACAGAGGTCTTGTGTATAGAAATGCTGGTTGGTATTGAACCAAGCCAGGGCTTGGTTACTTACCAGCGTTTGTGTTGCATGTCCTTTTTTACAAGATGGGAGACACCAGTAACCCTTAGCAGAGGCTGACTTACAATCCTGGCAACTACTTTCCCTGCTTAAATTTCCCTATCGTTTTAATGGTCTGCCACGCTTACTTTTCTCTTAAACTGCCGTGTTGAAATGGATGGTGGCATTTTAACATTTGCCATGTCTGATCCCATAAATCACTGTACTTTGAATGTGGATAATGATCAAAAGTTTACTTCTCATATGGAAAAGACATCTCTGTGCTTGCTGGAATCAGCAGGTTTCTTCAGACTTCTCCAAACATGATCACATGTTTGGGATCATGTTTGGAGAACATGATCCCAAACATGTGATCACCTATCCCTTAGATACCTCGTCCCTACCAACTGGGACTAGGTATCTAAGCCTTTCAGTTTTAAGGCAAATCACATGCAATCCCTCCCAGCAGACCATTTATTTAATAAAACAAGCATGAGATCTGTGCAGCCAAAATCACAGTCACCCTTGGTCAGAGAGCCAGTCTGTCACTGCAGCATCAGAGACCATGGGACTCTTCTCTGGCTATTCAAGCAGTTATGAATCTTTTTGTCCACACTTCTTTTTCACTAACTCACTCAAGCATACACACCGTTAATTGCATTTGCAGTGCAATGCTAATGTGCACTGTTAATTAGGCTTCACTTCCTTGAAATAAGCCATTCTTTCAGCTCCCTGCTACCAAAAGAAATGGTCTCATTCTATTTTTTTCCCACTGTTCCTTTTTCAGTTTTCTTTTGCCAGGTTGTTTTTTGTCAGTTTGGTGCAATGGTTTGGCTCAGCTCAAGAACAGTCTCCCCAAGCACCAGAAACTGCACAAAGGCAGGAGTGGGAGCACAGTGCTGAGAGTAGGAAGGAGTGGGAGCAACCGTACATTTTCATGGCAACAAGCTCTAAGATTAGCTCAGTGGGTGCTTGAAATATCACCCTTAGATATTCCCTTTGAATTTCCTTTCCAGTAATTTTTAACTTAGTTGTTGACCTGACTTTAGTTGTTAAAACTATTCAGCATATCCGATATCTCTTGTGGTTTTCATTTCTCTTTTTCTATACTTCAGCAGTCATAAGAAAGTACATATGCGTATGCCTGAATGCATTGGCATGCAGTGAAGGTTTAGGTCTACAACTCTCTCGGTTAATCTCTACCAGAAGTACATTACCTTTATATCCACATCGTTAGGAAGAACAAAACGGCAGCATTCTATACTAGCCATCAGCTTTTCTTCCATATACTGTTCACCTTCCTAATCAATCAACTGATATTTTCTCTTGCTGGCATATAAGACCATAATTTCTTGTCATTAGTGAGGAATTGTAAAGAAACAGCTTTTTTGATTTGAAACTAGGTCTGAAGTAAATGAGTTAATTTTGCCCTATATTTTGCACACAGGAGTCCAAGGGAGGTATGCCAGCATCGCTTCCACAAGTCAAAAGGTCCCATTTTAGCCAGAGGCCGTAGGGAAGGAATTTTCTTTCTGCTTCCTACACTGTATTAGCTAACTAGCCCTTTGTGCTTTTTGCTGATGCAGGTTTTGAAGGAATCGCTCCGACTGTACCCACCTGCCCCAGGGACTGTACGTTGGACAGAGACGGAAAATGTCATTGAAGGCATCAGGATTCCAGCAAACACAACGCTCTTTGTGAGCCAGCAGCAAAATCCACACATCAGCAGCTTTTAGCTGCTGCAATGGGTCCAAATGCAGAGGATCTGGGTAGCAGAGGTCCAAAATACTTTCCGGGCATAATTCTACTGGAGGCTCTGAAATTAGGCCTGGAGAAATTTTGACCAAAACTGAGATGTAAATTGGGACTCTGGAACATTTTTGTGAGAGGCTTGGGAAGCAGAAGCAAGACCAACCCCTATCTGGGGAGTGGAAAGCAGTTATATTTTTGTATCTATCTGTAACAGCAGAGAGGAATTTCCAGTTTGCTTCTCCTGATTATTGCAAATTAACTCTTTCTTGACAGTTCAGCACTTATATAATGGGGAGGATGGAACGGTATTTCAAGGACCCACTCACTTTCAATCCTGACCGATTTAGCAAAGATGCACCAAAGTGAGTTTCCTTTTATTGCCAAGTTATGAAATATCTAATAAGGAGTCATTATAGGAAGAGATTTCAAGGGTAAAATGTGGAATGCAATTACTTTTTCATTCCAGTATGAGTAACACTAAAGCCTTATCCAAATGCAAATAGAAAACAACAATGTCCAGTTTTTGTTCAGAAATTGTTTAGACTGCATGATGAACGTAAAATGCTGTTCTGCAATAGGGTCAAAAGGCCTAAGCTATGTCTACAGCAGTAGGCAGTAGTGCAATAGGAGGGAGCAATGGGTCAAAGCAGTTGGTGCTGAAGCCCCCATATCTACACTGTGTGAGATCAGGGGTTTTACTTCAGATTAGAATTAGTCCAAATGTTGGTCTCCTGGGCCAAAAGTCCATGTCCACTCATGTGATTCAGAGCTGTCCAAAGGAGAAATGGTTGGATCTTTATGTCCCATTGACGGGCTAGAGCACATTTAGAGCATGCTTGAATTTAGCTTAGAAATCGAGTTTGCACGCATCAAAACTGCTCTCTGGCCTCAGCCAACACACAGTAAGTGGAGCTAACTAGAGAATTTGCTTCCAAACTGCACTACTGTTCTGAACCATAAATGCAAATTTGGAGACAGCCTTAACAACTTGGGTGAGTAAAGTGGTATTTAGACCATCTCCTTGTTGTGGTGATGAAACGTTTGCTTCTTCCTTTACAACAAAGCCATCAGAATGACAGTTTTGAACTTTTTTTCTTCATAGGCCATATTACTCCTACTTTCCATTCTCTCTGGGACCCCGATCCTGTATTGGGCAGGTATTTGCACAGGTAAGCAGGCCTGGAATGACGATCCATTAGTGAGCGCTGTGCCAGTTCAAGGTGTGCCGGTGGTTGCTGGTGTTCAGAGGCCAAAGGCCGTTCTGATGAAGCACGAGCCCTCTTGCCTTTAGAGGGAAAACCCCCAACATGTCTGTGACAGGGCATGTACCTGCCATGTGATCAAACATTGTCACACAACCAGATAGATGTACATGTACCAGACTTGTCCCGTGTCACCCAATCATGCATAAATCCAAGGTGTCTTCAGGAGAGGGGGCAGCAGGCCGCTCAACTCGTGGCTTGTTCCAAGTCACCCTGCTTGAATCCAAACCCTTTTATAGGAATTGCAACCACCACTGCGTTGCCCTCGCAAGATCAGACACAAGGAATGTGTGCAGGGGCTATTAGGCACCAACTTATGGTTGCAGCTTGCAGAGTCAAGCCATGCAGGACATCAGCTGGCAAAAGGGCACAAGCCAGCCAAGACTGGTGGTGAGAAAGAGAGGAGGGCTTTGCATGAATGGGAGGAAGAATTTAACAAAATATGTGAATATCTGAGCATTGCAAGGGGGCATTTTAGAAGCACAATAGGAGGCCAACTCTTTGGGTTTGTGCTGTGAGTTCATCTAAGCATTCAGGCTTAAAATCTTGGTTGGATTTACACTCTGATTTCCAAAACAGGATTAACACATAAACACAAGGACAGATCTTTGTACTTACCATTTGTCTTCAAATCCAGGAAGCCCCAAGTGGCTATGTGCTGCCTGCCCAAACTCACAGTCAGCTGCATTGATAGAGTCATGTGTTAAGTTTTAAATCTCTATATTGACAAAGCAGCATGACATAGCACACTGAATTTAAGTAGCTGCGGTAAAGGCTGAATTTGCTGTCACTGATTTTGAGTTTGCTTTTCTCCTTAACAGATGGAGGCGAAAGTGGTGATGGCAAAATTGCTGCAGAGGTTTGAATTCCAGCTGGTACCAGGGCAGAGTTTTAAACTCTTGGATACTGGAACCCTTAGGCCACTAGATGGAGTAATATGTAAATTGAAGCCGAGGAGCCTTCCGAAAGGCGTCCAGGCATGATTGTCAGGAAAGGGAGCGTGACGTGGTAGTAGCAGAGTTTCTTCCGATGTTGAAGATTTCCCCACTAATCAATGGTTACATTTTATAGATGCCTTTAGAGGATTACTAGACTGAAAATTTTCTTAGCCTTTCACATCATTTATGGAAGAAAGCCTTAGGAGATCCATTCTAGATACGTTTGAATATCTTCGATCCGGAAGCTTGTCTGGAACTTGCAAAGCATATTTTTTTTCAGCAGGGACTATTTAGTTCTGACCAGACTTTGAAAAGAACATCCCTTCAGTGGAGTATCCCTGGTAGCTATACGCAAACCTAAAGTCAAATCCTAGCTGATATTTTCCATTGGTTTCACTTACAATACAAGATGGTCTAAGTAAAGGGCTTTCTTAGTTACTTAAAACTTACTTAGCTCAGGGAGTTTCATATTTACACAGTGAATCAAACAGTTAGTAGGAGCACAAGGTTTGGGCTGAGTTTGGGAACAGAAGCTTGAAGATACTCTCTTGGTCAAAACAATTTTCCCATCTCTATTCTAAATAAGAATATGGATTGATAGAAGCAATCTGAAACAGAAATCACTACTATTAGCCACTAGTTTTCCTTGATGCTTCTGCCTCATTTTTCTTCAGTGTCTCCCACTTTTCTTCCAATATTATTCAGAGTGTAGGTTGACAATCCACTTCAACCACTGCTGCTGTCAAAAGAGGTTCTCCCTTTTCCTCCTACACTGCTGCCCGCACCCCCCCCCCAACACACACACACACTTATTCTCATGCGACACTATAGTTTTGGGGAGGGGAGTTGTCTTGTTGGGTTCATTTTAACCCAGTCAGTTTCCTCATCTGGCTGCCCATGAAGCTATGCAAACGCTTGGACTAGACAGCCTGGTAGGTACAGCAGGGTTGGAAATAAGTGCCTAGAAGCAGATGCTGCTTAAACTGACATTGCCTCTGAAGAAATGTGCCTCCCTTGAGCAAGACGCAGACGAACATCCTGCACCCTCCTTTGCTGCTGCTGCTCCTCGGAAATTGCTCACTGCATGCAGGCTTTCAAAAAGCCTATCTCTGCTAGGGAAAAAAATGTGCAAAAATCCCACCTTCCAGAAATATTTGGATACCTAATAGGAGTTTGGGCATAAGATCTATCTTGAAATAAAGGAAATTCAGGACATTTGATCCTGCCACTGTTTTATCTTACCTTTTCCAATTAAAACGTGGAGAAGCTGGTCAAGTTACTGTGTTGGATTCCACACCAGTACAGTGATTTCCCAGAGATTTCCCTGGGTCTGCTCATGTTGTGCAACAGATCGTTCAGCGCAGCAGGGCAATAACAGGACAATAAGGTTGTTGCTCTTATTGATAATATAAGCTATGTTATACAATGTACAAATATTACCTATACCCAGAGGTACTAACTGTACTTGTATTGTAATTGTACTTGTATTGCTAGAGCAGGTTTAGCCTACCAATCAATAGGTCAGTTCTTCAGTCCCTTTTTGCTGGAGATCTGCTTATATCCTCTTACAGATTAATAAAATCTTGTTTGGAAAACTAAGGACTTTCTGGCTGGAAGCGTGTTCGTGGGAGCTAATATGGTTGGGAGCCAGATGCTTGATGTCAGTTGGGCTAGATTTGCTGGTGGCATAACAAAAGGCTGAATTCTGAGAATATGTCAAAGGCAGGGAAATATCACAGCAGTAAAGGAGTTGTCAGGGAAGCTGTGAAAGGGAGTGGCATATGCTGTGAGCAGCACACAGACAGTTTGACAGACATACCGGCAAATCGCACCGTGGGGATGCAAGATGCCACCACCCCAGCTCTCCGCTCTGCCTTGCTAATGAATGAGCTGAGATGCATTTGTAGCCTAAACACATATGCCCTGCCGGTACCTCTGCAATGGGTCGAGGTGCCTCCAAGGAGGGGCCAGGGCTGACAAGGAGGGTGGTAGCTTGTTGGAACCCTGCAGTGAGTTTTGCCGGGCCTCATCTGCCCCAGACCTGCCTGCTTTGTGCTTACCGGCCTTCCGGTTTTACTGCCAGACGTGGAAGCACAGCCCTTGCCAGACTGTCGTCTGTCAGTGCTGATCATCTTCCACCAGATGGCAAGCTCTCATCGCCAATGCACAAAGCAGGAGCAGCACTCCTTGGCTTCCATAGCTCCTTCTCTCAGCAGACAACCTGTCCTGAGCTTTGCAGGTGAGCGTGTGCCAGCAGGAGATGATTTCTAGACCACAGGGATGTTGTGCAAACACCTTTTCCATTTGGCCAATGAGCTCTCTCCATTTCATCTGCACTGCTAGCCAGGAGGTGATCCCTCATCTTCCAGAAAAAGGATCGGCGTTCAACCCATCAGGTTCAGGAAAGCTGCTCCCCGGGGCCCTGTATGCCAGTTAGGTGCTCTGCCAAACCCTGCCAAGAAGCTTCAGACCACAAGTACCCAGGCAGACACAGCTGTGACTGTCATGGGCTATGAAAAAAGCTGGGGGCTGCAGCTTTCATGGACACCACAGAAAAGGAGTTTCTTCTTGCTCTGGGAAAGAGAAACATGTTATTTCACTTCCTGGGCAAGCCAGCTTTATCTGTACCAAGCACTCAGCCAGGGATCATGGCCAGTAAAAAGGAAATGCAGAGCAGGAGCTGTATCCCCTTCCCAGTGGTCATCCCAGCTGCTTGTGGGAGAATGTGTCAAACTACATGCAAATGTATCAAATGCCACTACCTTTCTCCTTATATTTTTACTGGCTCTTGGGGAAAACAGAGAAAGATCTGAAAATGACTAGCTGGGGTGGTTTTTTCCTGGGCACCACCTGAAAGGGGCCCAACCCAGCCCTGCATGGAGTGCTGCAGGCTGGAGGGACAGGGAAGTCACGGTTTACTCAGAACTGCAAACCCACTCTGTTCAGGACTGCTCCAGCCCCTGAACCCTACGAGTAAGGGTAGGGTGCCCTCCAGCAGATCCCAGAGCTCCTCTTGCCTTCATCCTCTGCAGATGCACATGCTTGGAGACAAACAGGAACTCTCAGGAAAGGCTCAGCCAGCAGGAGTCAAGGTAAAGAGCTGCCTCCAAACACGAGGGTACCAATGGCAACACTCATTCCGAAGTGTCTTTATTACAGGTATCTAATTTTTCCTGCTTTTCTGACTGATGGCTGCTGCAGGTTTCTTTGATCCCCCTTCCAGATCTATAAACCCTTTGCCTCCCTCTTTTGGATTGATGCCCAGGACTTTCATGTATGCACTCAGAGTGAGGACTTTCCCTAGGATTTCTCCCCAGGTTTTTTATGATAATCCAAGAGCCTTGATCTTATCCCTTTTAGATCAGTGCCATAGACAAATAACAGGAGAAGCAGGGAAATCACCACTGCCTAGACAGAGCCTCTTGTGATAGGAGGGAGCCAGTTACGGGAAACATACCCAGAGGAGCCTGGTATATTGTCTTTCAGAGGAAGGCAAATCACTTTACAGCTGGGATGGGACAAAAGGATCCTTCCTTACCCCAGCTAGTTCAGGGCACGGGAGCAAGACTCATAATTTTGCATCTACATCTCATGAAGGGCTCACCTACATTTCCAGGGAGGGGCACAGCTAGCACTAGTGCTAGGAAAGAAGTGGGAAAAACAACCACAGTTTTGCCTGGGAGAAATATCAGGCAAAATATTCTTCCTAGGCATAATAAAATCTTAAAATAATGAAATATTAAAAAATAATCCTTGGAAGAAACCAGTAGAAGCTCAGATTCTATCACAGTCATTGTATTATAGCAGGGCCCAAAATCTTCTGAACAATGCAGGGACTTCCGAACTATCTGTAGCCTCTGGGGGACTGAATGTAGATAAGAGAGCATAAGATATTGTCCTTTTTATTGCTGGAGCCAAGTATGCACAGTGAGGTAGGAATCAGATGTTTCTCTGGACATTTTGCTGCCTGCCAGGCTCATTTATCCAGCCATGAACAGCTTCCCTGCTGCTTTCTTTACCGCAGTGGCTTTAGAGCACTGTACTAAGTGGATACAGCATGTTTAATCACGGTATGGTCAGAAAACCTGGTGCTCCGAGAAGTGGTGGGCCTAGTGCAAGCATGCAGGTTACTGTGCATTTCCCCTAGGTCTGGTTATACGAAGATAAGTGCAGTGTGAAACCTCCCCTGGATCTAGGCAAAATCTGCTACTGAGGCAAGACAACCTCAAAGCAGCTGTCCACAGCACATATCTAGCACATCCTCACCACCCAGAGCTCGTATGCTGGGAAAGGCAATATAGACAGGCAGAAACATTGCAACTAGCCTTCTTTCTGCTGAGTGAGAGCAGAATAATTTGCTGTATCCGCTTAGTCAGGACTGTTGGGCCTTCTCTCACTTGCTCCTCTTTTCCTCCTTACATTTTTTGATATACAAATTGTGAGATCCTGTGTTTTCTTAAACCCAGGGACAAAAGAAGCACTGCTAGAGGAGGAGTAACAATTCCTCTCGGAGGCACTGTGTCCGCTCTTCTTCATTCTTGCAGTGATATCCGGGACAAGGGAAGCACCAGCGGAGTGGTGGAGCTGCCTACATGGGGACACTTCAATCCTGCCAGCATCTCAGTAAGACCATTTTAGAGCTGCTCCATCTTGTTGCCCATGTCAATGCTTTGGTCTGCTCTGCAAGACACTTTCTGATATGATTTATAAGTAATAACTGTCTGTTGCATGGTAACATTTGGAGGCCCCATCCAAGTGACACTTCACGCACAAGGGAGGGCCCTTTACTCTATTTTACTCCCTATGAACTAACTCAGTTTCTTGCTCTAGAAACAGAGCCTTAACAGCAGTTAAGGGAGGCTCAGAATACTGAAAATAAGCTGACTGAACTCCACACTAGCCGGGGTAAGGAAGGATCCTTTTCTCCCATTCCAGCTTTGAAGGGATTTGCTGTGCTGGTCAGTTAATTCTGCTAGTAGACCATTTTCTTCTAACACTGAACTTCTGACTCACATCCTTCCTCTTTAGCTCCATTCTTTCCTTCTCTTAACAATGTTGCTGGTCACACATTTCCTCTCCTCAGCATTGGAAATACCACTACAGTCATTTCTCATGCTTCGATCATCCTTCTCTTTGATCCGTCTGTAGGATTTGCTTCCTATGTATAATACTCCAGTACTGAGGTGCAGATGGGAGTGTTGAACTCTCTGCCCCGATCTGGGACCTCCCTGGACTGGTGCAAGGTAAGTTATTCCTCCATTATGTACTCATTGTAAAAATATTAAAGAGCAGCTTCCTTCTAAGCCTTTTCAAATGGACTTTATTTAGTTAAGCCTTATCCCTGCTCCGTTCCTTAAAAGATTACAGCACTGGAAGCTATAAGCAGACAGTGAAGAGTCTCCAATGTCCAAGGCACCAGCAGTGTCCAATAACAGATTATGCTGGATCCACCCAGAAGACCTGAGCAGGGGACAGATACTGGCTCCAAATACAAAGGAAGACTCTACTCTGCGGAGTCTTTCCAGCTTTTTTTGGTTAAGGGCTGATCCTTGTCTCTCTTACATTCACCTTTCATCTCTTTTCCCTTTTACCTCCTCTTCTCTCTTTTGTTTGGACAATTCCTCCAAAGAAAATAAAGGACACTCAAATTACCACTTAGTCTTCTTATATCTTTTCCGCAGCGCCTTGCTGTGTTTCACTTTTAACGTGTCAGCTCTATCAAGATGACGCTACCTTTAGTGCTATTGTCTGTAAGATGCCTTGCACAACAGAGCCAAGATCTTGGCAGGAATCCTTAAGTGCTACTATAAAGCAAATAAATAATCCATCATTATTATTTTTATTTATCTATGAGTCTTCTCTAATAGGTCTTGATATTATTATGGTGCTGAGGACATGCTGAAATTAAATAATACTACATTCATTTGGCATCTATTCCCTTGGAAACACAGGTAAAAATGCATTTAATAGCTCTCCAGTGACAATGAACATTCATTAATATAACACAGACGTGTACTTGATTTGAAAATAAGGACAGTAATTAAAGAGCTATCAAGGTTAAAAAGCAACAAAGGAAATTTAACTACTGAAAGAGTTGTTCTGGGATTGGACTCTAGCCTATATATGAATGGAAAACAACAGGAAGCCCGAGATTTTCTAGCTTATTTTAAACAGATTTTGTCTGCTGAGTAAGTGATGTATACTGCTAGACCATGGGCTCTGCCCTCACTTCCAAAATCCTTACGTCTGTAAATTTCCCGAGGAATTCAGAATTCATTTTTCCTTTTTTACAGAACAGCTGTACTCCACTGTGGCACTGCTCCTCAGACTCTACCTCACACATTGGTCTGGGGATGCTGAACTGACGTGAAGTGAAAGTGAAATTTTGTGCATGCTTTTGGGAAGGAAGGAATTTATGATCGACTGCTTATGTTCATTACTTCTATTACAATAGTCCTGGGAATCACCAGTCATGCTCTAGATGCAAGCTCTGACAATCTCTGTCCCATAGGCCTTGGTATTTAAGGGTGGTTTCTCAGAGAGGTTTCACACAGGCTTATTTGCAGGGGTGGCTTCCGAAGAAGTTATCTGAGCAGTATGTACATTATATGTGAGTAAGGAGAGAGGTGATGGCACTGCTTTATGTGGAATGAGACAAGGTCCAAGGAAGTTGGGACACTTTGCAGGACCAAGTGGCCACACTGCTCGTTCATGCGTAGAACAAACCCTGCACGGTTTTATTTACCTCAGCCAGCCAGTGTCCTCCTAGCATGTGAAGAAACTGCAGGTTCTCAGCAGAACCAAGTCCCTGAGAGACAGGAGAGACAAGGGCGTCTGAAGGGAATGCCAGCTCTCCCATTTAGCAGCGAAAAGTCAGACATATCTCCTCCAAACTGAGGTATGCTGTTGAGAGGAGGTCACCATACCTGGCCGTACATCACCACTCTCCCTTTCTGGGGAGGATCTCCTAGACAAGTTTTGCCGCTGAAGAAATTACGACAGGAACCGAAGCAAATCAGGCAGAGAGGCAGGCAGTTATTTTAACTTCTAATCCAGTAGTGTAGCAGTAAATAAAAAAGTGAATAAACTCAGTGGTTTGGTGTTTCAGACCAGTGAGGAGAGTTAGTAGCATATTGCCTAAATCAGAAGCAGATAAACTGCATTTGCCTTTGCTATATGCTAACTCTTCCTTCCTTTCTAAGACCTTCTTTCTGAACAGTAGCCCTCAGTGGAGATAGATATATACAAAAAACTTGTGATAGAGTCAAGAGAGGAACCCTAGTCTTCTGAATCCCATTTCTCTGCAGCAATCTCAGTAACACTTTCCTCTTCTTTGTAGGTATATGGGTCAGAGATGGCAACACTGGGTAGATTGTGTATCACTACTCCAATATATTTCCTCCCATATAAATAGCAGGGCAACATTTTCTGGCTGGATTGTCAGCTTTTGGCAGGGGAAGTTGAGCTTTTTTTGTCCCCCTCCCTTTTTTTTTTTTTTCCTGGAAGCAATTAGAATTCCATCCTTTAGCTAGTGTGTTGCTATTTCCATCCAATACAGTTTAGCTTTCTAACAAGAGAGACTGCCAGTATTCGCTTTTATTAGAAACTCAGCCTGAGAGTTTTCGCAGGCATGGGAATTTGGTAGCCCCCTTCTTACCGATTTTAATCAAGTTTTCCATCCCCTTGGCTGCGTTCTCCAGCAACTGTAGCCGGGTTCATGAAGAGCATAGGCTGGAAACCCATATATGGTCCTA